TGGAGTCTTCAGCTCTTATAAAGTCCGTGAACATGAACCATGGCTGTATCATGATACAATTTGGCTGAAGTTATCAATCCTTTCTCACAAATATGTAGTTTTGTGACTCCTTAATAAGACACACTCCATCACTGACGCTAGATGATGACATACGTATAATTTATCATTTTGCTTATTGTAGTGTTCTTCAATCGTGAAAATTTTTTCATCGGTAAAGAGGTTATTTCTGTGCTTTTCACCTGCGTATCGCGACAGAGTCGTTTTGATCGATCCACTCTCATTAATTGTAAAGATTGATTTAAGGCATGACCTGTATATCGACGATAAGCACTGAGCTTCAGATCTTGTTTTATAATACTACAGAGTCCTAGCGGGAATCTTTATTTCACGAGATAAGATTGTTTGCTTCCTTATGGGGTTTCGACGAATTCTGGCTTTAACAGCCTTTGTAGTTTTAACAGCACGCGGCCGCCCCGTTCTTTTCTGGTCATCACCAGACGTGTTGTTGTATCTGTTGATAGTACGATATTCGAACATACGGCTGATACCAAGCTTTTGAAGTGTCTGGAATATGACCGACCGCTCCATACTCACTTTGTGCAAGGCGATCACTGCAATCCTATTTTCTTTAACACACCATTCCATATTGCAATTTGATAATTAACACGAAAAAATATGTGAAATGGCGAAAATCTAAAGAAGTTTTTAAAATAATATACGTGTTCCAGATTCACAATAATGAAAAAAAATGTATTTTCATTTGTAACAGAACTTATGGCCAGACTAGTTACATGTATTGTTCATTTCAATCATGTTATGTGTCCAAAATAATAAGATTAAACCGGTTATCTTTATTTAATAATATAGGATATTCGTCAGAATGTCAATAACCTTATAAAATTACGAAATAAATTCAATCAAATAATATGCGCAAAAATTTACATGTTTATCACAAGTAGAGCGATTTCTGTTGGCATACTGCCGACACTGCAAAAACGTCACAATAAAATCACAAGCTAAGCCAAAAAATAGAATAGGTTGTTCTTACATGCAGTAAATAAACTGTTTTGTTTACATTACACAGTGGCCTTATAATTGGATCAGGTCCATTTCGTAATATTGGCTTCTGATACGGCTTGTATAAAGAGGGCGTTATATAATACATGTGTATTTATATAAATAAAGTACAAAGGAGATTACGTAATGAAACAACAAAATACATATAAAAATATTTTATTAAAAACATTTTGGTAACATTTAATAAGAACACTTAGGTAAAAATAAATCGACATCAAAATCATTTCAAAAGAACAGCCTGAACTGGAAGTTCACGGAGGAAGCCGGAACATCAAAATTTAAACTTAAAAAACAATGATAACATTTAGGCAGACATGTCTAATTGACAACCAGAATTAAGGCATCGCAAGAATAACTATTAAGTACGACAAAATACCTACGGCTATTATAATAATTACAACAAATAAATCATCTAACGCTATCTTTCGATTTGCCCGCGCGGCCCTGTACTCTTGGCAGGGACTTACGTCCGAGTATTATTGCCACTTAATTTACTTCACTCACGAGACATTTTCTGCATACTACAACTACTAAATACTAAAACATCCCAATTATACGAAGCTATGTTTAAGATTTAACCTAATTAATAACATTAACATCTTCGGCTAATTTGATACTAGAATGATATAACATCATATTGTACTCTTAACATTATTGATTAAATAATAAGTGACGAACATGTTACACGTATTATATTGCAAGCTTTACTGAGATTGTGCACGTTACGTGGTTAATGTTTTATGTAATCGAACTTAAGTATGCTTAGTATGGAAGATTTCTTATACTGAAGTAGGTGGAGGCTCACCCGCGAAGGCTACCCCTTACAAAGCTATTTAAAGGAACAGTCAAAGATTAAATTACGAGCATTGGCACTTCAATATTAAATCTTAATTACACTCGAAATAGCACTGCGTATCAATAACCAACTTAAAAACTAAATTCAGATCAGTCATTTATGATATCACATCAAAATAAACAGGGAAATACATACGTGATATTGGATAATATACATTTCAAATATATATTCTTTTTAAAAGAGGTATTAATTTTCTTAAGGGTTACTAAAATATTGAGCTCTGCGCCGCTCTCGACGCACATATCACCATAATACGAGAACAACACTAAACCAATAAAAGATTTGGTACTGGAGTTTTATCTCCTTGTTAATTCTATTTCGCTAAACCTACATAATGCTTATCAGATATATTGTAATACAAGCGGAGCGCACATTACGTCAATTGCGACCTGAAGGGCATACAAGTTCTTGAAATGACATTTCGTATCAGTCCGCAGACTGTTTTAATCCAATAAGTCTCGATATACGTTCAGACCGCGCTTCTGCAAATAACGCTCCACTTCTAAACCCTTCAATTCCCATACAATTTGCAATACAAAAATACTGTCATTTGACTACAGTTCAATGTGAAATATAAATACGATGAACAATATATAAACTACAAAACACTAATATAATAATATGATTGACTAAACAAAATAAAAATGCATAGAGTTGAAATGATTTAAAACATTATAAAAAATATTTGACACAGCGATGGAAGGTACTTACAATTTGATTTCACGATAACTCATTCAAATAAATAGCACAACAACCAAAATATTTGGCAATGTGGATAAAATAATTAACAACTAATCGGCTGCTAACCTTAAACAAAAACTGGAATGCAAATATTGCATCGCGCCTCGGCCTAGCGTGGTTCGGGCAATGGCAAGATCTCCTTCGGCCCCACCATACGACTAACTTAACGAGACTTCACAACAACAGTTACTGAATAATGTGCGTATCGCTCCCAACACATTACTTTGAACTACATTCGAATTTACTTTGTCATATATTTAACTTAAATTAATCTGAATGCAACCTGATATAAATAAACCATAACAAACACTGAATGCAACTGAAATAGTACATTTACTTGTACACAATGGTAGCAACCATTTTTTGGTATGAAGATTGGAATATTTTTCAAAAAGCACATTTTCAAGTATCACAACAGGTTGTCACCATTGTATAACAAGTGTTTTGATGGAAGCAATGTATCTGTTAGGCAAATTAGGTTTTCATTAGCTGCATTCTGAGATCCATGCTATATTGTGTTCAGTCTAGGCCCGCTGAACAAGATAAAATAAAATTTTGTAAAATATTCACTTATTTGATTACAACCTATTTAGTTCATAGCCCATTAAACAAAAGGGGGAAAAATAAACCAATGAAACAAATAAATGATAAGAGATAAAGCGATTAATAAAATGCAATGTGAGCTTGGACTGTGATATCACACTGATTTGGAAATGGTTTTACTGATAATATTGTAACAATTAAATAAATGTTTGATTAGTGGATGTTGGTCCCTTCCAAAAATTGCCAACCTCGAAGCAAGATAAGAATAATATAAAAGAAATTTCTGAAATCTTCACACAGTATTGTCACTTATCTTACTCTTATAAAAATAAATTTGTGAGAAATATTTTAACATCATACAAATATTCCAGTTCCAATTAAAGCTGATCACAACGGAGCAGAATTTAAGTTGCACAAAAGGACAGTTTTGATCAGTTAGTATATGTTAGCTTACTAATAATAAAGAGACTCACACTATTAAATATCTTGACTAAGTTAAAGAGACCACAGATACAATTTATAATGCATTTACATAGAAATATTTACCAGTCTGTTAACAACACTTACTATAATTTCACTAGAACCCAGTATCTGGGCACATCAATGACTCAAAACCTTTTAAAACGGTCTGTAACTACTAATACCTTAGAACACCTAATCACTGTTTAAGTTTGTGATGATATGCACTGATAACCCACTTCATTTAGGGTGGGCTCGTCATTAATGAGGTGAAGCACACTGAGTAAATAGGAAGTAGATTTAGGGAAACATTTGTGTCCACTAGATTATGCCATTATAGTGTAATGCACGGACGGTACAACCAACAAACATCGATAATTAGACCTACAAATTAACCTAGCTTGGCTTAAATTCGTGCCACTTCGTCAAATCCTCTACAAGAAGCAGCCTTTTGGTTTAACGATCTCAATAAAATAAAAAATGACTGTGGAATACATCAAATTCATAAGCTGAATTGAATTGCACACAATATTAGAATGGTACCATAATGATTAAATGGTGGGATGTGCTCATGTTAATATCATACCTAAAATATTAATTTATAATTGGTCATATAAACAAGAATTGATTTAAATCAACTACATATTTGATTATAGTACCGATTACTGCACATTGACTATTCCATTAATTTAATATAATTTGAAGATTACAACAATTAAATTCTTTGGACAATAAATTATTAAAATTTCTAAAAGGAACTAAATGTAGTGTAATATCCTAAAACAAAAACTTTCTGTCTACATTAAACTTATGATATGGAATTTGAGGTTTGAGTATTGATCCATTATTGGATCTAAAATGCCGATTTCTTTGTGGGTAATTAAAATAAATATCGTAAACTTAAAATTATCACACAATAAGTTAAAAAAATCAAAAATATATATATGCATTGTCGCGCATTTATAGAATTTGTCAAAAATTGCTTTGTTTAAATTAAGATCACAGTTTTAAGTCACATTTAAAATGTAATTCTACAAATTCATGGGACGACAATCATATACATATTCCACAGTCATCAACTATGGCTGAACTCACATCAAGATAGAATTTATACTTTAGGAATATCACAAGTTAGCAATTATAATTCAAGTTCATATTTTGCAAAATAATTTTATAAACAGGCATCTGTCAGAACATGTGACCACTAGTCCGTTATTCTAAAATTCATCTAAAGCTGCTGGTGCGGCTTTAAGCACCTTAATATGACACTATCTTGATGTGATTCAGCACCCATGGTTAGAGTTTAAAATGACTCTTGGTCATGCTAGTCTGTAGCGGCTACAACCCACGAGAAGCCGCAGTCACGGCAGGTATCTTTTACATACTGTGTGCGTGTTCCATATGGTCCCAATCGATGATACTGTGAGCGGTTAGCAAAGAACAGTGCAGGGTTGTTGGGAGGCAGCACTGTAGCACGGTAGTTCCATCGAGGATCAGTTAAGTTACCCATTAGATTAAGGATATCTCTGCCTCCACTAACTACTTTGACATCCCGCTTTTCTATTGGACGTGGCTGAGGTTGCGGAAAAGGTTGAAATAACTTCTGTAATTAAAAATGTATAATGCTACTAAATCCTGATAATTTTAGGTTATACAACTAATTTTATATTAGCAAAAGTCTAAAACAATCATAGAAGTATATATATATTTAATCTGACCAAAGTTCATTCTCAATTATATATTTACGTGTAAACCTTATAAAAACATTCAAAGTTGCTAACGTCATGTAAGCTCTTATAAATCTTTCCATTATCATACGTCAATTGTACACAACATTGATAGCGTAAGACGTTCGCCATTACGGAATATTATGAAAATAGAGGGGTCAAGGCCAGCACGACCGCAAACAAAATATTTGCAAATTATTTAATATAACTCACCTTCTCTGTGGTCTGAGGACTAGATGGCAAGGAGTCATTGTTAAGGGACTCGGACTTGAGCGAACCTAATGATCCGATGCCACTAGATTCACTGGAGACAGATGGGCTTGGACTCGTCTGGGACTTTGCAAGACCTGCTATGTCTATGATATGACTAAACGAGTTAAATTTTTCTGTCTCCAACCCAGATAACGGTAGTCCAACTGATAAAGCCATGTCTGCAAACCAAAATGAACATTTAAATTCAATTTTACACGTGCATTACGCCAAGTGCGCGCTAGCAACTATGTTGACAGCATCCAACGCGCCAAATTTTTCCATTCACTGACCACTTTATACACTTAATAAAATCTTTGATCCACTTTGAATTTAATAAATATGTAATTGCACTGTATAACAATAAAAACAATAATTACCGAAACGCGCAATTCCTGTACGAGCAAGTCTCGACGTAGCTAAAAGAGATCGAACATTTACGAAGTGAAGTTGGCTACAAAAGTGAAAAGACAATAACCTCGCGTTTGCACGGTGTCCTAGCGGGCGGCGGCAAACGGATATTATGAATGTCGGCAAAACAGTTTATTACGCAGCAAACAAAATATAAACTTGATAATTATTTTTATTTGTTACTATTTGTTGTACTAATTTTAATATAAAGATTAATTCACTATTAAACATTTATATATTTTGTGAAATTATCTACACGTATGCTTATAAAAAAGAAAATAATACAAAGCTTCTAAATCTTTGAATGCGCCATCTAGTTAAACATTTAAAAACTAAAACGTGTAACAGCGCCATCTAGTCTCAACACTAAATTCGTAATATACTAGTAAAAGTCCTCTCAATAGTTTAACAGCGACATCTAGGCTAATTAGAATACAATAGAACTACTAAGCCGCACTGTGTAAGTTTGTAAGGACTGAGTTTATATTATTACCAGTGCGGGTTGAATGAAATTTGTTTTAATAATAGAAAAACAGGTGGCAGTTTACAACATTTACTCGGTCGCGTACAAAGAATGATCAGAATTTAGTAAGTCTTACGTGAATACAATGTAGCTTTATGAGCCATTATGTCGGTCATAATTTATTTTATTACACTAATCATCAAATTGCTGATTTATCAAATTATCAATGAAACAGAGATACATAATTCTGCCTTGCCTTCAAGAGGGATTTACCTACATAAACAAACAATAATAATAACTTCGCTATGTAATTTATATATTTTTTAATTTCCTAACAAATGATTGATGTGAGAAACATATTTTTTATCCCACAGATACGTGTATGTTGTATAATAATACATCTCTTATCTTTAAACGGTTAACGATTATTTTGTACCCATTAAACTTTTAAAACCATTTTCTGATAACATTAATTTGAATAAATATGTACGACTCGTAAAATCTACAGTGGATGGTTTTGCATATAAAATCCGGTCGTTATTTTTAACTCACGGTTATTCTTGTTACTTTAGAAGTATAAAGTATTGTATCCATTATCAACATTTATTATCACTAAAAAATAAATCAGTGGCGTTACAACCTCTTTAGGTCCAGACTTCAGAAATCTGAGGCCTGGGCTGGTTCTGAATCTGTTTCATCATCATTATTCAATCTAATAGACAAGTAGGTGATAAGCCTCCTGTTCCTGACACACGCCGTCGACTTTTTGGGTCTAAAACATGTTGGTTTCCTCACCATGATTTCCTTCACCGTTCGAGCGAATATTAAATGCGCACATAGAAAGAAAGTCCATTGCTGCACAGCCGGGGATCGAACCTACGACCACAGGAATCGTCACAAGCTAAAACCACTAGGCCAACACTGCTCACTTTTACACACATTTACCTGTAATAAGCATTGTAAAAATTTCTTCGTAATTGATGAAATTAATAGCGGTTAATCTAATATATAAAATTCTCGTGTCACAGTTTTCGTTGCCATACTCCTAAAAGGCGCTCCGAAACGCCTGACCGATTCTCCACTGAAATTAATTGTGATATTGGATGATTTGTGAGAATTGGGAAACGACCAACATCTTATGGTTTTCATCCCCCTAAATGTTAAGGGTAGTCCACCCCCTAAATTATTATTTTTTTAATTTTTAGATAAATTATTATTTTTTAAAATACATACAACCCCTAATTTTCACCCCCTCCACAACCCATATTTTATTATAAATTAAAAACAAGGCAAAAACACCCCCCCCCCTTCCCCCAGCTAGTTTTTTTATATTAATTCTATTCCCAGTGAAAAAGTAAAACAATGAGGTATATCTAAGCTTTAGTTGGGATTTAAAGGATCTTTCTTGGTTGTATCTTTGGTGGTATCAATGAAAGTGCTTGTTTTGAAACTATATTTAAAATAGTTATCAAATCGATTATATTCAGGTCAAAAATAGAGACAAATATGTCTGAAAGACGTAGGAAAACAAATTTCTTGATTATCCGATTTGAAAATAGTTTTACAAGGTTCAAAGTATTAAGCAACATTAAGGACAAATTAAAATTACATTTTGTCTTTGGTTTGCAAGAATAAAAAAATATCTTAATATGCGAATTTATGACCAAGTAGGTCATACATAATTCGATACTTCTTTTTATCAAGCAAACATTAAATAATCGTTAATATTTAGTAAAATACCGATTTTTTTTTATTATTATGCAAGATTAAAAGTATTACAACATATATACTTTTTAAACGATATAAAAAAATACGTACCTACTTATCCAACCAGCTTTATTTAATATAGCAAACGAATGCAGGAAACAGCCGACTATTAAATTTTACCTAGTTTTTCTTAACTTAACAAATTACTTAAAACTTAAAGTTTATGTTATGAAATGTTTTCAAATATTAGTTTATATAATAATTAATTGAAATTTATGAAAATTAACCCCCTCTTTAAAAATCTACCTTTAATATATTTTTACCTTAGTACCAAAATGCGTGGATATACGAGTATAGGTAAGTAATTTAAAAACTGCAGAAGCGATTCTGATGAAGTATTATCTCGATAAGACTTTTAGCTGCCGATAAATTGATGGAGAAGCATACATAATTGGAAGTCTAAATGGAGACACTCCAATCTTATCCATTTCCAACCATGATACTGACATTGTTGGATTGAAACCCTCCTTTTTTGATATCGGTAAATGCTACTGTTGCTTCAATTATTTACACATTACTAGAACGAGAGTTTTATTTAGTTCAATATTTTTTGCTGTGCCTTACGAACCTCGTATGATGAAGGATTTTCTATATACATTTTTGTAACTTAACAATACATTTTTGTTGGTAAATGTTGCATTAATGTTTATTTGAATCGAATTGTAATGTCACACCACAAATGTACGAGTATTTCATATAATTAAAAGAAATAAGAATGTTTGGTAAATTTTATTTCCCTTGAATATTTGTGGATAAGTTATTTGCGCTTAGCCATGGCCGTTCATGGAAGAGCAAACAGTCTGATTATGTAAATTTACGATCGACGATCATTCAGTAATTGCTCGTCTCGGTGTCTCGATAAACGAATTCTTATTTCGCCACTTAGTCCGTTCAATAAAATAATAATAGTAAACATCCGTGCAAATGGCCGGCGAGGGCCCGGGCGGGAGGGGGCCGGGGCAAGGGGCGCGGGGTGCGCAGGCTGGGGCTTATCGATTCGCGCCCGCGCGACACACTGTATCTATCCTCTCATCGAAGCCCGTTTGCGGGCCTCACAAAGAAAGAGATAGGTTTCGCCGACTTTGATCCTTTTGTTTTTGGGCAGCGTCCGGCGATGCGGGCGGGGGCTGAAAAATGTGAAGGGGCGCTGATTGGCCGCGCCGGCCCCGCCCCCCGCGAGAGCCTCCGCAGCCTCGCTCGGAGGCCCTCAGTTCAAGGGCGGTTGCCGTACAGCGCGCCGATTTGTTTGGGTTCATCTATTTATAAATAACATGTAATAAGGATATCATCTAATAGATAATGACAAATACTTAAATACTTTATTGACTTTCGCTTTAATTTCTAGTTATAGTCAATTGTTATCTCACTCGTACTGGTTTAATAAAGCATATTTACGACAAACAAGAACTTAGGACAAGTTTTTATCAGTCTTGACTGCGGATTCGCTGGCGCATGAGTTCATTGTTTAAACTATTAAAATGTAAAGCTTCCATACAAACGGTCATTTTACTCCTAAGGTTTCGAAAACTTAACACTTATGTTTGCATCATAATATGCATATAATATCAAGTCTTGACAAGAATTTTATTATATATTTTCATGATACAACCGAAGACAGTCAAAGATAAGAAAATAAATATGAATCTCATTTGAATGTTTTCGGAAATAGAATATGCATATTGCTTTCCGATTAAGGAGTTGATGTTAATGTTTTACCTATAATTAAGGAATTATGTGATCGCTGTCTCCGTGGTTTAGTGCACCATGTAGTAGTAGTTAATGCAACAAGCGCCTGTATTTGATTATCGGTGAAACATTCGGATTAGGAGGTACAACTGAAAATACTATATTCTAATATCTGCGATATTTAAACGCCTTTTGGTGCTTGCCGTGAAACAAACTCCATGTGCTTAAACCACAGTAGTACACGCCTCTTTTGAGATATTTTTTTGGGTAAAAAACACAATGGAATACCTAAATGTAAAATATACTACAATTTGTAGCTGATTTAAAAAAAAAATATGTCTTTGACAGGATTGCTTCACGTAATTAAGTACGATTTTAAAATGTATTCTTATCAAGTCTCTAACGAAACTTATGTAGGTACTTTACGAAAGTGTGTATATGTTTCTATAAAAATCAGTAAATGAAAGACATACTTTCGTATCCAGTTCAATAGGACACACTCATTTCAGCGTCTGCTTTATTGATAATTTAAACAATTATTTGGTATCCGGTATCCGATATACATGTCAGGGTCAGTCGAAACTTGGCGATCGTTGCCGTTTTTCAAAAACGTATTGGGTTTTGTCATACATACCTAAGTCATAGTTCGCAATAAGTCTTGATGCTCAATCTTACCCAAACAAAATCCATCTTTCTTCCTTATTTAATCAATAAATATAGTACAATTTAAAGAAAAAACTTTTTAACCGGATTAAAGTTATGTATTATTATAAATTTACAATTATTTAACATAATTTTAAATTTATCCGACGTTTCGCGTGCTTTACAGCGTGCGTGGTCACGGTGTCAAAGA